ATATAAGTCAATTAAATAATTGTTCTTTAAGTCAATTTTGAATAATTTTCAATATAAGTAAATAAAATATTGAAAATTAAATATTATCTCCATCTCAATTATTTAAATTATTAGTTTTTCATGCCAAACAAAAGTATAGTATTGTAATGATAATAATATAAATTGTTAATAGTTACAGTATAATTATATATTATTGTAACGGAAAATGCATAATGATGACGATGACGATGTAATACTTGGGTTCGGAATGGTCTATAAATAATGTTTTGGTTTCAAACTATGTACGAATTTAATAAAGAGTTATATTGAAGCATAACAACTTTTGGCTTTAAATTTTTAAATAWTTTTTTCACAAATGTTCAATAATATGTTTTGTCCTCGCCTTGCCGACGATTTTATAAAGTCGAATCGATAATYAAACTAGTTCTGAACTTCGGCAACATGTCAGGTGATAGGTGTAAACCGACGGTCTTTAAATTCTTTCTCATATTTCTTCAAGAGTTATTGTTAGATGTGGAAAATTAGGGACCGACATGTCTTCACTTAACGAATGATAGATCGTGCTACGACAAAAACCTGCTTTTTTTTTGAAACCAGGAACATTATTTATTATTGAATACTCTGTGGTATAATCATTATAATATGCCTAGACACCTAGTGATGTATTATATTATATATATTATAAATAATTACTATTATATATTAGTATTATGKCCATCGATTTTAGCGTGACACTCATGTCCACGTGAATTTAGCTCTGTCACAGAGGCGATTGATGACAACGACCGCGACGGCGGATGAGGCGGAGCAGGCAGAGGAAGTGAAAAAATCTGAGCGAGCTGATGGAATGGACGGAGCGGACGRAGCGGATGTGGCGTCGACGRACGGTTCGGAGCGGTCGGACTACARGCCAGCCCAAGGGGTCGCTGTTCCGTGCGGTGGGAATTCCTCGACTGGTGCAGCGTACACGTCTACCGTGTCCGTYATGAACCACGGCCGTGATTGGATAGCACATCCTGAGCGGAACCTGTTGTTTGTCATTCACCCGTGGTGCATGTCGCACAAGTCGGGCGCGGACAGGCTGTCGGAATTTCCGCCACCCGGATTTCTGGAACGCCTCAAGGCCAAGCTGATGGCCCTGCACCGCCAGTCAGACGATCAGCAGCGGCACAGCTCGGCCACTGGCACTGTGGTCAGGCGGCGCCGACACACCCACCAGAGGATCAAGTGTTGGTTCCAGTACACGGCGACCGCTCTGAGCAGCGGTGGTTCGACGGCCATGACGACTGTRCACGCGGCCGCTTATCCACGAAACGAACCGGCGGCCGTGGTCGATTTCCTGTCCGTCTGGCAAAGATGTGCCAATAGCGTGGCGGCCGCTTGCAGTACGGTTGACCGCGACTGACGGAGTGACGGCTCCAGATGTCTTAGCCTCCAGAACGATACGCCACAGATGTCCACCACCTGCAGGATTCGATGTCGATCACATAATTATTGTAGGTTATCAGTAGCGWTAGGATTAATGATAAGAAATATAATAAAACATTATTTAATAATAGATTAATATGTTCCGAATTAACTAACTATCGTGAAAGTGAAGCTTCAATTTTTTAAGTTTGAAAACAAATAATAAATCCACTTATTATGTAATGTAAACTTAATCATTTTTGTCTAACGTCTTACTTTTGTTTAAGTTTGACAAATTTTATACCCAACTAAGTTTTCACATTTTTTTCATCATAGACAAAATCTTTGATTTTATAAAAATAAAAATTATTATAGGGACATATAATTAAACGTGGCGTCTAGCGTTTTACACAAAGTTCTTTCTCGCATACTAAAACTAGCATTTTCGTGTCTATAGGTAGCTGAAATATGCAAGTATATGCATTATACTAAAAAAAAAAAAAAAAAATACAAATTAAGCCATGTGTCGATATGAACCGATTCGCGTATGTGAATAACCAGATTTGTGAAAGAAAACTGWAATAAAAAAGACACCTATGCATAATATGAATCCTAGCCCTATAATTACTTAATATAATTATACATTATGCAATATATTATATTATATTACTATATTAATTATAATATAATATTAGATAATTCGGGTCTGATGTCTATTTTATGTATTATTAAAGTAGGTACCTACTTATTCTTACTTTTATATGCTGCACATTGTAATACAAGTGAGCTAGGAATTGCATATAATAATGATWAAATTATTTAATCATATAATTTATTGAATATTATTTACTGGTAAATTAAGTCTGAGAATAATATTATTTTATTTTTCGGAAGGTAATGTATAAATATTTACGTTGTACATWAAAATGAAAAGTCCTTACATTTTGAAAAAACCAATTAGTAGTTACTGAACATTTAATATAATGTGTTCTCGTCCGAATATCATCTTTATTGATAAACTCAATGGCATTCAAATAGAAACATTAAACTATGTAGCAAAGAGGTAATTAAAAAGGAAAAAAGAACAGTAGGACATTTTTTTTTTTGACAATAAAAATGGTGAAATCTGAAAATAAAATTATTTTATGACTTGAATTCGTTAAAAACATGTTGTATACATTTTTACTCTATGCATAATAAAAATTGTAATAAAATAATAATTATCATACCTACATATTATATATTCTAAATTATAAAAAAATAAAAAAATTGTGAATTAAAATTATTATTTTTAAAAATCATTGAGAAAACAAAAAAGGCACATTTTAACCATGCCTGTTATTATACTGACTGTCCTAAACCAGTGATATGGAAAATGTGCTTTTAAGGGGAATCAGTTCACCATAAATTTTTTCAAACCCAGGACTTAGTTTACCTTAAACCAAAAAATACTATAAATCTACCAAATCCCATAAAAAGCATACAGCATAGGAATTTTTTAGAATTCTAGATCATGTAGATCATAGAGAATATAGATCATGTGATGGCTACCATCGGTTGCAACACAGCATTACCTACACTAGCATCAGAGTAGGTAATTCAAGATTTTTAATCAGAAAGCTTTCGTCCAGACAACATTTTTGAAACAACAAAATTAAATCAGATGTGTAGGGTTTAGATTACAATACTTACAAATTATTAGTATTATTTAATTGTAMATTACAAATTTCTTAGTACCTTGGTAAGTCAATATGTTTGATTCGAAATGATAGAATTTACTTTGTGAAATAGGCAACACAATATAATGTGCATAAAATATTTAGCACAAAAAATCATAAAAAGCAAACATTTTCGTTTGGCTGTCATATTAAAAATAATAAAAATATTATATTAATTACCTATTTAAATAAACCAGTATCGACACATGACTTAAATATTTATTTAGGAATAGTCTTATATTAAATATAGAAGACATTTTCTTATATTTCTAGACACTATACCTACACATTACCTATTATGCATTTTAATAAAAATCAACTCCTCTTGTTTATGTGACATTTTTTTTTTTTTAAACATTCATAGTATTATATTTCTATAATTTACTATCTCAAATCTTCAGATCGAAAACATATTAACAATACATATTATAATATAGCTATTAGTTATACAATTATTAACATTAAGCTATTTTTATCGCGAATTTAAATAATAGTCAAGTTTAGTTAATTTGTATTATATGGGTAAGTAGGTACTAATGCTTAACTGTATTGAATAAAATATAATTAGGCTATTTTAATTGTTTAACTTAATTATTCTTATGTGCCACCTAGGTATACAAAACTACTAAAATTAAAACATTATCAAAAACACATAATAAAATAAATTCATTAATACATAATATATAATGCAAAATAATAGGTTTCTTGATATAATATATATATATAAAAAAAACTATAGTAGATACCTATTATATTGGTAACCACTAACCATATTTTTTTTTTATTAATTGTTTATGGCATCAACTATATATGGTTATTAGCCGGTCTAACCATATTATATAGGTAATAAACTGCAGATAACTGTACAGTATACACATACATGCTACGATAGTATACAACATAACAATATTGTTATTTATTGACTAGGATAGTTTAAGACTCTTATTTTAAAACCTAGTAATGAGTTTTTAATTTATATTTCAAATACTAATAAATAATACACAACTGTCACAACTAATTATCTTGCACCAAGGAGATCAAAGTGTCGAACCCAAAGTATACTTTAAATAATTATGTCATAGTCACTGTATCCGGTACGAGCTGCACTTGATAAAAAAAAATTAATAAAGATAAAAAATGAATATCAATTTTATATAATATGCTATAATATAATAAAGCTCTATATGCCCACGGGGTCATGCACCTATATTGATGTGTATTATCTTATACATACAATTATTCATGTTATTTATACTAAATTATTTTACAGGAATTTTTACACGCGCAATGGTATAATAATCGGGAGTTCCAATAAATACCAATATATAACAATTATAAAATATCTTTAAAAAAGAAGTTGATACTACTGATAGGTACTGTCTCCACTTTGAATCGTTATTCATATGTAAATATGCAATGATTGATCACTGAACTCAAATTTAACACTTCTATATCTGCGAGTCACTCAACAATAAATATTGACGATATACGGGAGGGGGGGGGGTTGAAAAGTAATTAAAATTGTATTTTTATTTTGTCAAGTCTAATTATTTCAGACGTTGAGATGTGGTATTTGAAAATATTTGTAGTAAAAATGTTGTACAACTTCTACTTCGCAACTTTTCTTGCAGAAAAAAAGCTTTAGTTGTATGCTTTGATGGAGATTTTTGAAAGAAAATTGGATCTAGTTCGTATACTCTTGGGAGGTTGAAATTGAAAATTCTCATTGTTTTTTTTTTAAAATAATTACATAAAGATAAATTAAGTAATTAACATCCGTTAAAATTGTTTGGTAACATTAGCAATTAGATAGTCTTCGATTGGATTATATTGGGTTAATTTTAGTTTTTTTTCTAAAAATATTAATAAGAAATTATTTGTTCCGTCAAAAAGCTTTAGCGTATAAAACTAATATCAGCTTTATTTGTTTCTCATACACGTTTACTAGGTATATCCATTTAAAAATATTATCGATATAATATAGAAACAATGTTTTTTTACAAGCATCTACAATTCAGATTTCAACAAAATCACAATTAATATCAAATTTGTAGTTAAAAAAAGTATTAAATATGTATATCTATCTATTTGTATACCTATATGACTAATATTTATGGTTTGAAAACGTAATACTAAGTCTGTTTTTATTATGGAGTTTATACTTTTACCAAAAAATTACTAATTATTTTAAGGAAATGCAAAATAAATACAATGTTATAGCAATAATGAACTCAACCAACCTAATATATAGGTATATATATATAACTATATATTATTAGTTATTGGTTATAATTTATCTGGTAAGACACTTCACGCATTTATAAAAATCTTTTTATCATCTTATAATTTAGTTTACGTATGTCTATTTATCTTTTAAATAGAAAATATTTATCATTTTTTTTTATTATCAATTATTATATTGTTATTGTTATTGTTATACGTAGTCTATATTATAATATAAAATAGATAAGTAATTCATTAAATATTTATTAAAATTATATTTTATGTTCTTTGCTATAAAATATAATGCATTTTTCAAAAAATTGTTTGTATATTCATCTTAAAGATGTTATTGAAAACATACGGTTAATATAAAAATTATGTTTTGTATAAAATAGTTTATCAGCTATAACGAATAATAATGACAATGATTTTTAATTTGAACGTCCAAGTACAGAATTTATTCTGATCCAAGGAGACACGAATAAAATTTTGTGTTAAGACATTTAATTTATAATATTATAAAATAAATATTATCTTTGTCATCGATGCTATGATTAAATTTCATGTAATTCTGTTTATTAGAATTACAAGTATAGTAACAGAGTTTTGTTTTAATTATAAACAAACAGTAAAACTAACTACAATAATTAAAAATATATTAGTAGGTCATAAAATTTGTTATCTACATTTAATTTATATTCTAAATATCAAAATTCATACAAAATATAATAAATTCATACAAAGTAAGTTATTCGCAGTATTATGTACAGTATAAAATCCAAAATATGTACTTATCTAAAATTGTATTTATCTAGATGTACTTAGATGACCCAACGCAAGAGCTTAAAGGGATTATATCCTCTCAAAGTGAAAAAATATGTAAGTTAAATAAAAAATTACAAGAGTTTGATTCAGTTGTTTCTGAAAGAAATGAATTACGAGAAATTTACAAAGAATTTGAACAAAGTAATGAAGAATGTACCAATGGCCATAAGAAAGCGTTTGCAGAATTATCCGCGAAGTGTGAAGAACAAGCGGAGAAACTTAAGCAATTTGCGAGTGCAGAATACCAATGGGAAACTAAGTACGGGAAACTAGAAGATGCCAACAACTGCATGAATCGTCAGATAAAAATTCTAAAATGTAATGAAAATAAATTACAATCACAATTAACAGAGACTGAGACAAATTTGAAATGTATTCAGAAAGAATTATGTACAACTAAAGTAAATAGTTCCTTTTCGTGATTTTAGAACGATAACAATTAGGTAGGTAGATACTACAAAAAATGTTATCACACACTTAAAAAGTAATTTTAGATTGTTGAATCATTTCAATCGAATATACATATCTAAATGTATGAAACACTGAATCAAATAATTTAAAATAAAATAATATTATATTATAGGTACTAAATCCAAATACTATCATATATCATATTATACATTTAAGTAACTTGAAACAGTGTATTTGTATTTTCCAGACAAAAGTATTTAGACTTATATTTTTTTGTACGTACAGGTGCTTATAAATATTATTTAATTTTTTAATTAATTTTACACTTTTGTTTTTACACACAATTTAACTGTCCAATATTGTTGAACTTGGAATATCCTTGTGTTTTGTTGACGTTTCACTGTAATGATCATTTTTGCTATAAATCCAAACAACAATTTTTGATTAATTAAGTATCACCAGTTAAATAAATAATATTACAAAAATTATCAAAAAAAGTTGCACAATTATTGTAGTCTAAACGTCACATTTGATCTAGTTTACCTCTACTGCTTACCGTAAATCATGCAGTGACATAATAATTCATAATATAGAATATATACTATGTGGTATTATAGGCTATCTAATTTTGTATTTTTTTGTATATCTATGTGAATTCTTTCACAAGTTACTAATGGACCTACATTCTACATATCGAATAAAAATAATACATATTTTATATTAGTTACATACTTACATAAAAAATATTTTGTTGAAAACCCATTAATAAAGTAGAGTTWATATTTTTCAGTCGGAATTGGAAAAAAAGAACTGTATGGTCAATAAATTGAATACAACTTTGAAATCCAACGAACAAGAGCTCTGTAAAGTCCACAAGGAACTTGAGGAGCGGAAAATTGAATCCAATAAATTAAACGAGACAAACGAAGTTTTGAATACGGAATTAAACTGCACAAAAAAAAGTTTAAGTGATGCAAAATCTTCTGCTACAAGTATGGAAGAGAGGTTCATACAAGAGCGTGATAATTTAACAAATGAATTGAAAACAAGTTGTAAAAAAAATAATGACTTAGAGATGCGATACAACGATGCAATGTGTAAACTAAACGAAGAGAGATGTAAATCCAAAAAGTTTGCTTCAAAATTAATAGATTTGAATAAAGTGAGTGCAAAGAATCACTTAGAAATGAAAAACAGGGTACAGAAATTACAAGATGAAATATCTGCAAAGAATAACGAATTATGTTCCTTGAATAAAAAAGTCGTTGAGTTGCAGCAAGAAAATAATAGTAAGTGTACAGAAATAAACGGATTAAAAACTAAAGTTTACGAGAGGGAATGTCAATTAAAACAAATGTCTTTACTGTCGGAAAAAATTGAGCAAATGAAGAGTTTTGCCGAAACTTGTTGTTGTCCAAAAAAGAAATGCGAAGCAAGCTCTTGCAGTTGTCCAAAAAAGAAATGTGAATCTGCGAGCTCTTGTTGTCCGAAAAAAAAATGTGAACCTGCAAGTCCTTGTTGTCCGAAAAAGAAATCTGAAACAATTCCTTGTTGTCCGAAAAAGAAACCAGAACCTTGTTGTGAATCAACTCCCTGTTGTATGAAAAAGAAACTGGAATCAAGCTCCACGACAGATATAAAGCCTTCATGCGGTCAATCCAACAACACAAAAGCTGTGATCCAAAAATATTCTACAAAATCGAATGGATCTCATAACGATATGTATAAAACGGAACTAAAACAATTGAAATGTGATCTAGAAGATTTACAAAAAAGTATTAGCAACATCTAAAAAATAATAATTTTTAACTAGGTACCTATTCAAGATATAAAATTATGCGTGTCATTAAAATAGGTTCTATATATAATTATTTATATAGAAGAAAAAGTACTATAAATAAAACAAAATTTATTTTGACCATATTAAAGATGTGTAGGTATTGCTTATTTTTTATTTTAACATAAATATGCTTTTGGGCCGGATGCACGTTTTTTGTTTCTAAACGATTTTTCGTTTAGTTACCTACTTATTAACAAAAATGCTTTCTTTTTTTTTATTCATAGATTTTCCTTGTAGAGTAAAAATATCGATGTTAGGTTAGGGGTTCTAGAACAGCCAAACATTTTGGTTTTGGAGACAACTTGTTATGTCCGCAGTAAAAATATCTTCTTAATTRCGGCAAGTTTTGTTGGGGCACCTATATATCAATTGTGGCCCAGATTTTTTAACACGATACATATCTACCTACCTAACGGCTAACCTGCATACTMATCAAAAAATATATTCTGCCTATAATAATTCGGCTGTTGGAAACGTTATTAACATTATATACCTAGGTATCAAGTAGGGATAGTATATAGCCTAAACATAGGAATAAKATATGATAAAATAATGTTTTATTATTTTGTATTATGCAGCCCAYCTTACAAAAATTTTWAAGTTTCAATTACCTTCCTATAACATATCGAAAAYTACATTGTTAAATTATCGAACAAATTGTTAGCTATAAATTAATTTATTGCATCAAAAAAAATCCAATATCATCAATACTATCTGGTCTACTTGACACCCCCAAAATCATTGGCGAAAACCGAGTTGCATGCATGCTATTTTGGGTTATTAAACTACCTAAAAAATTCTTGGTGTTCCTTTCAACTGACTCATTACCAGGCAAAYAAAATAATTTAAAATTTAATAAAAATTTACACTTTTCCGTTTACCAATATTTTGTAATAATAGATGCCTACCTATCTATATAGAATATATATGATGACATGATACCCAATCATGGTAAGTCATTACTCATTATACATGTATAAATAATTTTGGTAAAAATGCCAATTTAAACGATATGAGTGTAATCTTACAAAAAATCACAACCATCTAACATTGATGTTGAATTTGGTAAAATAAGTTCTACCTAGTTAAAAGTAAGTGGTATTTGTCATTTAAGTTTGTATTACAATTGCTAATGCATTTTTTTAATCTCAATTCATGCAGTATAAGCAGATTTTTAAAATGCAAGAAATTCATAATTTAATAATTTACATGTTTTAACAAATTATTATCATCATTATTATTTATATAAATAAAAAAATCCAATCCATAACAAATAATTATGCTAATGCACATYGGATATTTTTATATTTGTCTTAACATTTTATTTTTAGTTTTCAGGTAAATTTTTTTATTTTAGAAAAAACAATTTAAGTATAGTTATAAATTTTACTATAGAATATTTTATTTTTTTTATTAAATATGTTACTCTTTTGCCATTTTTGTTTTAAAATAAACAATTTTTAAGAACTTATTGGTAAACTGGATATCTGCAAATGGGCATAGATCCTGTCTAAAAATTTTAAAGCTTAATTTAAACTAGTCATTAAGATGACAAAATATGAGTAGCAAAAAAAAATGTTACTTAATATCCATTTGCTTAAATGAACGTTCAAAGATGGAATAATTCATAGTCATGTTAATCGTTCCATATCATTCAGGTGGTTAAAAAAAACTATAGTGAGACGAACACCAATTTAAAAAAACATGATCAGGGCTCGGGCCTTTTTTATTTAATTTAACCTTTTAATTTGTTTATTTTTATGGATTGACTTAAAATGTAGCGTAGTGCTATGGAAGTATATGTCATGTTATAATATGTTTAATTATGAAATTTGAAAGTGCTTTTTTTCGATTATTTCGGCAGTTTTTCAAAAATATGCTTACTTCCAGTTTTTCTGATTATTTTTGCTTATTTGACTAGTATTTCTACGTTTTTATAATGTTTTCAAATATTATAAATATAATTTACATTTCATTTTTCGGAAAATCCATAAGATCCTTATAGTCTYGAAAGTGAAAATTAAATTATTATTTAATATAGAGATAAAGATTTWTTTTTATTTTTTATTTTTTTGTTTTGATAAATATTTTTGCAAACATTTAAGTTTTTAAATGCTTATTTGAGTGCTTATAAGAGCTTTTTTAAGCGCTGATTTTAATGATTTTAAGTGCTTTAAGTCCTGAGCCCTGCACTTGATATATGTACCGTGGTTCAAAGAAATATTTATAAYGTTTYTATTAATTATTACTCAGTAAATTGTTACAAAAAATTATACATAAAACAGCTGTTGTGAGCATATATTTGTATAACAATAAGTAAGAGGTTAGTTTTTTTGTAATATTTAGAAATAATGGATAACATATTACWATAATAATTACATGACTAAGAAAAATATTTATTACATAACATATTTTAAATTAATAATAATATTACATGTATAAGAATTAACTCCAGCGGTAGTGTGCATATGCTCTGTTTGCCTCACATTGTTTATGTAAATCCAGTTTCTTTTGCACAACTTTTCCCTAAACAAAATAATAAATACATTTAAAAAAATATGACATTCATTATACATATAAAAGTGTATCAAGGTATAATTTCACTAAAACTTTTTAATGCAATGTTTTGTTAAAATTATTTTAATTAAATGTTGAGTGATAAAAAAATTTAATTGTTGATACAGTAGTCGAAATTAAAATCATTCTTACATCATTATTGGATGCTTTGATTAATTCAGTCGCCATGAAGTCAGCAAAACTAATGGATTTATCTTTTTCGCGTCCACATTGTACAAACCATCTCATCGCATAAAATGTAGATTCTTTATCTGTTATTGGAACTGGAACCTTAAATAAGAAGAACCAARGAGAATATTGAAAACGATTAAACTTTTRAAATCCWAAATTTAAACATTAAATAGTTTCTATAAGTTACTTTTAGTAAAACAAAACAATATTATTGGCYCTAAACAATACAATAAATAGTTAAATAAAACATTTTAAAAAAATGGGAAATTTATATAAATAGTTGGAACTGTTGATTTTTTGAATTGAATATAATTGATAAAAATATAATGAGATTACATATAATTAATAGGAATAAAACAAGAGATGAAATAATTTTTAATGTACTCRTAYATGAAATAGTATAAAACTGAAATATATCATACTTGGTAAAATGATCCTCCTCGTTTTACTGCAGTTAATTTTAAAAGTGGTTTGCAGTTCGCAACTGCTTTTTTCAGTATGGCTATAGGATCTACAATAATCGAGGCTTTTTTCTCAAGATCTGTTTCTCTGTTATACTTCTCTAACTGTAGTTTTTTGATTTTTTCAAAAGTCTTAAAAAAAAAAAAAACATCAAAATATTTGAAATATTTGAAATAAAAAATTACAAACTATACCTCCATACAAAAGTACAATAATTAATTTTGATTATATGTTTAAAGTGACAATATAGGTTGAATTGGCATTGATTTAACACATCAGGGTTTAACATTAATATTAAATGAAAATTTAAAACAGATATCATTCTGAAATTTGATCTTAAAAAGTATGAAACATTACAATATGGTCCCTGGTTAAGGTATATCAAAACTTTCCAAAGTATTATTAAAATCGTAATAATTACCAGAGAGGTGATTAATTTAATGCAAGACAATAATTTAAATGCTGATGTTAAATGGATCACACTGTATATTAGGCCAACAGAAAAGCAATCTATAATACATTTAAGTCTTTTTCTGTATCTTTTTGGACTCATCCGTCTTAAGTTGGATAGCAGATAAATTCCATAGACAAAACTTTTAATTCATTAAATGCAAAATCTAAGTATGCTTTATAATTTTAACAGATAAATATGATTAAAGAAAAGTATAAAAGTAGTAGACCCAAATTTAGTGAAATATTATTTAAATAATTTAAAATGGTTAAACGGTTTGTAAGACCATTACATTAGTAAGACTATTATAAATTAATTTAATTGCTCATATTTTTTAAAAATATAWACATATAACTTAATTTAAATATTGACAGCATTAATGAGGAGTTTTTAAATTTAACTGCGAAGGCTTGGTATTGGTAATCATTAAAATTTTACAGTGATATCAATTTAATTTTTCTGTTATATTATATAGAAACATATTGTTTGTAAATGAGTATTACTGAATAAAATGTTTAGGTATCCTTCTTATATCTCATGGTACCACAAAAATGAATGAACTCTACCCACTGAACAATAAAAATAGGTAGAGTGTACTAGCCTTAACTAATTCTAAACAGGCTGATATATTTTTGAAATATGTATTAGTTAAGTTCATCTTTATTCACTATAATATCTAAGATATTAATACATTTGAAAATTATGTCACAGGTTAAAAGAATGTTTTTAATTAAGTTCTATTATGGGTCATAAATAACAAAAATCAATCACATACCTTTTCTAARACTCCTCTGGCCAACTTTTTTTGTCCTCTGAGTAGCATATAGTTTATAAATTTTCTGAAAAAAAAAATGATATAGCTAAAAGTATTGATAATTTAACATTATTAGTACAATATTTATCAACCAATTTTAATAGTCTAAATCAGCGGTTCTCAACCTTTTTATAGTCACGTACCACCTACACAATTTAAAAATTTTTACGTACCACCTGACAATTTTTTTGCTTATTAATAATGTATACATTTATGTTAAATGTATAGAATTTTGTTAATAAATTAATTTTTTATAAAGGTAGATTTTCGTCACGTACCACTAGTGGTACACATACCACAGGTTGAGAACCGCTGGTCTAAATAATTCTATTGGATAAGTTAAATAAAATAGTTCAAAATAGATTTATATTTATTGTGAGGAGAATAAAATATTAATAATTAATGTTTACTAATAATTCAAATTCTTAAAATTAATACACTTTAATATGACTTTTTTTTAAACGCATTTAATTTATT